CAGCCAGCTACAGCAGTTATTTTACAGTCCATTAAAGAATTACTAAAGAATTGAATTTTCAGATAGCATGTTTGAGTATTACTGTGCAAGATGCTATTGGGCACAGAATATAAGCAGCTTTCTAGGTCGTGCAAGTCCTGGAAGGTGGTGGATCTGGGCTCCATGGCAGTCTTACCTAATCCGAGCCCAGTAATGTTAAGTGGTAACAAAAACTTGCAGTGAACGAATTGGCATGTGGTATATAGTTGCATCATCATTCTTAGCTCCATTTATGCTGAATTCTCTATCAATTATCCTCTGGATAGGACTCTGAAGTAAGAATTTTTTGAAACCTGTCAACCATAAACACATAAGTACTTGGTTTCTAGAACACACAGGATAATAATCTGTCATGATGGTTACTGAAGTGAAGTCCCAAAGTGTGCTCTAGCAAATTGAATGTAAAGCATGAATATGGAGGAAATTATATGGTAGATACATAGGAGCCCTTTTTCTCTCAAAATCTCTGATATTATTCTGGTATTGTACTTGATTCCCTCTTTATTTGGAGGTCACTATATAATTTTGTTCTCTGTAGTGTGCGTTAGTAGTGGGAACAGGTGATTACTGTACAGATCACAATCTGTAGTCTACATCCTGTATCTGCTCCTGTCATCAGGGTCCCTATGTGGAACCAGTTGCTGCCACATGCAAGTACTTAGTTTGATACAAGTGACCAGTAAGTTATGAAGCTGTTACAGAATTTTCCATTATTTTAATTCACTTTATTCTCTGCATAGGATGGATGAAAAGTCTAATGTTCAGTTTGGACTGCATAAAATGGACAATATAGAATGCTTTTACATCGTTTGATATGTAGGAGGAAATCAGAATTTACAGTGTGAGATGCATACATTTAAAATATCCTGCCAACTTTGGGATTAAAAAAATAAAATGCTATTTTCTTGTCTAACTTTATTTGTTCAGATTTTTTAAAAAGCAATTTTCCTAAAGCTGAAGGCGCTTATCAGAATAATATTTAAGATTCACAACTAAAACACCAGTATACATTGACAAGCCCATCCAGACCAACTCCAATGCACAAAATATAAACCAACCAATGCATTCCCTGTCAACCTTCCCCAGCGGCATGTTCTGTACCTTAGCAAAATTTAAAGTTAGAAGAAAACACCCATTAAAACAGAGGGTTTGTTTGAAACAGATTTTAAAATTCACCTAATGGGGAATAAAAAACACAAAATATATATCCAAGCAGGTAATATGGAAGTGGTCATTTGTGTACTTTTGGCCACACCATTAGAATGATTTATTATGTCAACTCCTCTTTCATGATTATATCCTCACAACTGTTGAAGAAAAAATTATTTTGATAGTAGTTCTCACTTTTTTATGCTGTTTATAAGTGATTAATTATGCAATGATTTTTAAGGCTGGAAGGGACCATTATGATTATCTAGCCTGAAGAACCACACCCAAAAATTTCTGCATCAAGCCCATAACTTCTATAATCGGAGATAGGGGTTCTAACTTAAAGCAAGTGAGTTGGTGTGCTTGCTTCACAGCCAATTGCTACATTGTGGAATATCAAAAAGAATGTTCAGTGTAATATCTCCTCCCCCATTATCGATCAGATAGATGCAAGTTTGGTAAATTAAATAATTATAAGAAAAAACCTGTAGGCTTCCTTCTATCTGAGGAAACTAGTTCTTGACTATTTCCTGTAATTTTATCACAAAATACACCTTGTAGGGAGAATTCTGAATACATTTCTCACTAGATTGACTCTTTAATGTTTAAGTACTGAGGGGGAATTTCTGATCAGTTGTTTAGAGCCGTACATATTGCAGTCACAGGTTTGCAGAGATTGCCACAACTGTGCTTGTATGATGTGTTGCCATAATGTCTTTGATTAAAGTAATTTAAAGTTCTAGCTATGAAATTAAAAAATAGTGTTGGTTGGGTGCCAGGATGTTGGTTTTGCCTGGATCAGAACAGTCCTGAGCCTGGTTGCTGTGGTCACCACTGACTTTCACTTAATTTGGGAATTTGAAATTCACTCTCGCTGCAAAAAAGATCCACATTAGTCTAATTTCAAAATTGCAGCTGTCCCACAAATCACATTTAGTGAGACCATTGGAATGAGTTCCCTAGAAGGAAAAAGGATGGGGGAGATAGTGACAAGAGGAAGTCAAAGTCATCTGTAGCACAATACCCCATGAATTGGTCAGTGTTACAGGATACACAATATTATACTCTGCAATAGCAGCGTTCTGTTGATTTTCATTGTAGACAAATAGCATCAATATTTTCAATGAACTCTTCTGTAGAATTTCTTCACCTTTTCATAATTACAGTTTTGACAATTCATAATGACAATTATCCTTCAAGAAATAAAACAGTATTGTTGTATTCTTATACAACTTGTTTATGTGTAACAGTTTTCAGAATCCTTATAGTAACAGTCCCTTTGCTGGAAAACACAAAGCCTTGTTTTTTTTTATTTATACAAAAGCTGAGCTAAGACTCAAGTAGAAATGATTCTTTTAGCTACATGCATAAATTCAGTAAGAACTGAAAAGGCAGTTGCTATGTGTTGCATGGACTAAAAGCGCCCTTGCAAAAGATCTGTAATAGGTATCAAGTAGACTGATCAAAAACTTCACAAAGATAGAGTTACAGTTGCAGGTACATATGTTATTTATGTGTGAATGTTTGAGTTTGGTGGGGGGAAAATCCCCCAGGATATTAAGAACTAAGATTGCACTTCTCAATCAGAATAATATATGTTAATCTTAATAAAATAACCACAACTTTAACCCTGCTCCATGAGAGACAGCATGAACAAATGAGATCTAAATACCATAATCCCAGTAAAACTGCAAAGGTTAATACAGCTAATAAGAAAAATAAAAAAGTGAAGTCTCAGTTCTTGCATACACTTTCATAATGCAGTGTTTGCTCACAAACAAGTGTAGTTACATCACATTAGTTAACTAATATGTTAGGGAATTGACCCTTTTCAAATTACATTTTAAAAATTAATGGTGTGCACATCCAGAAGCTCTGCATTTATTTAAGCTCTAGAAATCACATAATCAATGGCAGGGTTCATTTATTCCTCCATTCATAGAATCATAGACATATAAGGCTGGAAAGAACCTGGAGAGGTCATCTAGTCCATCCCCCCTGTGCTGAATCAGGACAAGTATACCTAGACCATTTGACAGATGTTTGTCTCACCTGTTCTGAAAAACCTCCAATGACAGGGATTCCACAACCTCCCTGGATAACCTCTTCCGGTACTTGCTTATCCTTATAGTTAGAACATTTTTCCTAATATCTAACCTAAATCTCCCTTGCTGCAGATTGTCAATTACTTCTTGTCCTACGGTCAGTGGACATGGAGAACAATTGATCACTGTCCTCTCTGTAACAACCCTTAACATATTTGAAGACTATCAGTTCACTTCTTAGGCTTCTTTTCTCAAGGCTAAACATGCCCAGTTTTTTAAATCTTTCCTCATAGGTTTTCTAAACACTTTATCATTTTTGTTCCTCTCCTCTGGACTCTCTCCAATTTGTTCACATCTTGAAGTGTGGCACCCAAAACAGGACACAGTACTCCAGCTGAGACCTCACTAGTGCTGAGCAGAGTGGAACATTACTTCCGGTGTCTTAAATATGACACTTTTGTTATACCCCAGAATACTAGCATTTTTTTTGCAATTGCATCACCTTGTTGACTCATTCAATTTATGATCCACTATAACCCCCAGATCCTTTTCAGCAGTACCACCACCTGGCCAGTTAGTCCCCATTTTGTAGCTGTGTGTTTGATTTTTCCTTCTGAAGTGTAGTACTTTGCACTAGTCTTTATTTTATTTCATCTGGTTGATTTCAGACCAATTCTCCAATCTGTCAAGGTCATTTTGAATTCTAATCATGCCCTCCAAAATGCTTGCAACCCCTCCCAGCTTGGTGTCATCTGCAGATTTTATAAGCATACTTTTCATTCCGTTATGCAACTCATTAATGAAAATATTGAATAGTACTGGACCCAGGACAGATCTCTGTGGGACTCCTCTAGATACACACTCCCGGTTTGAAAGCAAACTGATAACTACTCTTTGAGTACAGTCTTTCAAGCAATTGTGCACCCACTTTATAGTAATTTCATCTAGATTACATTTCCCTATTTTGCTTATGAGAGTGGCATGTGGGACTGTGTGAAAAGTCTTACTAAAATCAAGATATGTAATGTCAACTGCTTCCCCCCCCACACACACACAGTAGGCCAGCAACCCTCTCAGAGAGGGAAATTGGGTTGGTTTGGCATGATTTGTTCTTGACAAATCCACGTGGCTCATCATTTATCACCCTGTTATCCTCTAGGTACAAATAGATTATTCAGTAAATTGTTCCAGTATCTTTCCAGGTATCAACATTATGCTGGCAGGTCTATAATTCCCTGTGTCCTCTTTGTTCCCTTTTTTTAAAGATATAGATACATTTGCCCTTGTCCAGCCCTCTGGGCGTCACTCGTCCTCCAAGGACTATTGCTAGTGGTTCCAAGATTGTTTCAGATAGTTCTTTAAGTATCCTAGAGTGAAACTCTTCAGGCCCTGCCAACTTAAATGCATCTCACTTAACTAAATATTTTTTAACTTGTTCTGTCTTCCTTCTCCCTTGTTGTTAATATTCATTGTGTTAAGCATCTGATCACAATTTAATCCATTTAATTAATACCTATTTTGCTTCAGTCTTCAACAGCTCAGTCTTCATGGTGTTGTTGGTTATTGGTTATTAGTTCTCCCTCCCTCTCCCCCAGCAGAGTGTGGCAGGGCGATGACTCACTGGTGCGGCGCCTCCTGCTGGTCATCCTGGGAATTGCTCTCCAGCTCTAGAGCACCCTCTGCTGGCTCATGTCCTGCTTGCCTCAGGCCCCCATGTCCCACCCCTTTACCTTGGGTGCTGCCCCCCTGGCAGTACCCCACTCTCCAGGTTTTCCCCTCCCCAGGGAACCCCCAACCCTCTATCCCCACCTCAGTGGCTAATGTCAGTCGCCATCTAGCTCCCAGTTACTGGGGCAGACTGCAGTCTATGAACCACTCATCAGCAAGCGGGGTTTGGACCTACTGCCTTTGCCTACCCCTGGGCTGCCCCTCTGCAACTCCAGTACCTGCTTTAGGCCTTCAGCAAGGCCTGCAGGCTGGGTTTTTTTTCAAGCCTGGAGCTCCCCAGCTCCTCTGGCTTCCCCCCCGCCCTGCTCCACTCCTGGTACCCTTCTCAGCTCCCAGGCAGCCTAGTCCTTCTCTCTCCAGAGAGAGACTGCCTGAACTACTGCCTCACAGCCTTTTTATAGGGCCAGCTGTGGCCTGATTGGGGCGTGGCCCCAGCTGTGGCTGCTTCCCCAATCAGCCTACCTTTAACCCCTTCAGGGCCGGAGCCGGGTAACTGCCCCGCTACACAGAGGATCAACACTTTTCTTAGTCTTTCTCTTGCTCCTAATCTATTTATAGAATCTCTTCTTATTGCCATTTATGTTCCTTGCTAAATGTTACTCATTTTGTGCCTTAGCCTTTCTGATTTTGTCCCTACATGCTTGTGCTATTCTTTTGTAGTCATCCTTAGCAATTTGTCCATATTTCCACTTTTTATAGGATTCCTCTTTGCTTTTCTGTTCATTAAAGAACTCTGTGTACATTCGTGTTGCTCTATTACTATCTTCCTTTCTTTCATTTGTATCGGGATAGTTTGCCAAGTATTATCTTCTCTCACTTAAATTTAAACCTAAAAATATTCACATTGAAATACAATTTCATAAGACCAACTGAAAACAAAATCCTTGTGTGATAACTTGTCATTATGATTGTAATAATTGCTGTAAATCTACTAGGGTGGAATTAAGGTTGTGGTTATTAGTCGCAGAGGGGTGTGTGTCAAATTTTGGTTTATAATAGAAACTCATTTTGCAATTTAATTTGTCACTTCGTGGTAAGGGCCAAATTCTGTTGTCATTAAACTTGCGGTAAATCAGGATTTACACTGGAGCACTGAGAGCAGAGTTTGGTCCAGAGAGTGTTACTGATGTGTGAGTGTTGCAGTCTTTTTTTACAGACCTGTGAATAGTTTTATCTCACTACTTGTGGAAACATTACCTTTTTCTGAAACAGCCCTTAGAAGAAATTGCTACAGTGAGTCACATTACTCAACAAATATATTTTACTCCTGGACATTGCAGAGAGTTGTTTACCTCTTCCCTCCATTTTGAAGGTAAGTGTTAGATACAGTTCTCATGATGTGTTGCTTTCCAGCGTTGCTTTCTTGGAGTGGTTTGTTGAGATGCCCAGTAGGTGTTTTCACAGGTAATTTAGTCGTGCTCATGGACTTTGGTTTGGGAATCCGAGTAGGAATTGTACGATGGAATATATCAGCAATCTTGAAATAAACCAAGAAAAAATGTAAGCAGTTAGGGTGGGTGGTTTGTATAGTTCTTTAGTGCTCTTTCTCAGCTTTTCAGAATATAACATATATATTGATCTGATTAAGAACTGTTGTCATTGTAGTTTTCCTTGTTTTTCTGTTTTGTTTTATTTTTAATGGTACACTGAGGCACATGAAACAATGCTAGTTTTTGAATGTGAAAATGATGGGGGAAGAATGAGTGTCTTGTTACTCTTTGGAGACTGTTGAAGGCTTCTTATCTCTACATGGCAGCAAAGTCTGTGTAATTCAATAAAAGTCTCAGAAGAGTTTATGGGGTTTTGAAGCAACATAAGTATTTTATTCTTGACTGAGCTATTACAGTCTACAACAAAATGCATCTTGTGGCTAAATCAACTAAATACTGAGTGGAAAAAAATGTATTTTAAAGATGATCAAAAAGATTTCTATGCAATGTGATGAGGGGAAAAATGCCAATGCACATCAAGATATATAACCAAAGGCACCATATCATGAAGGATGGATGTGATATTGATAGCACTTCCCTGTACAGCTTTTGGGAGACCTGCCTCAAGTATTGATTTCAGTGCACCCTGCCTTCCAGGGATGCATCATGACACAATGAATAGCGCACAGGACTGAGAGTGAAGATACCTGGGATCTGTTCCCAGCTCTGCTATGGACTTGTTGTGTGACTTTGGCCAAATCATTTAATGTCTCTGTGCTCCAGTTTCCCCACTTGTAAAATGGGGATGATATTAATCTTCCTTTATAACAAGGGTAGGCAACCTATGGCACGGATGCCGAAGGTGGCACGTGAGCTGATTTTCAGTGGCACTCACACTGTCCGGGTCCTGACCACTGGTCCGGGGGGGCTCTGCATTTTAATTTAATTTTAAATGAAGCTTCTTAAACATTTAAAAACCTTATTTACTTTACATACAACAATAGTTTAGTTATATATTATAGACTTATAAGAAAGAGACCTTCTAAAAACGTTAACATGTATTACTGGCACACGAAACCTTAAATTAGTGAATAAATTAAGACTCGGCACATCACTTCTGAAAGGTTGTCGACCCCTGCTTTATAATTTAAGATGATGTTTATAGATGTAAATGACTGTATGAGTACTTACTGTTGTTCTGGGCACCTCCTTAGTATTAATCTCTCTTTCTCTCGTGTGTGTGTGTGTGTGTGTGTGTGTGTGTGTAAAATCCTAGACCAGGGGTCAGCAACCGTTCAGAAGTGGTGTGCCGAGTCTTCATTTATTCACTCTAATTTAAGGTTTCGCGTGCCAGTAATACATTTTAACGTTTTTAGAAGGTCTCTTTCTATAAGTATATAATATATAACTAAACTATTGTTGTATATAAAGGAAATAAGGTTTTTTAAATGTTTAAGAAGCCTCATTTAAAATTAAATTAAAATGCAGAGCCCCCCGGACCGGTGGCCAGGACCCGGGCAGTGTGAGTGCCACTGAAAATCAGCTCGCGTGCCTACCCCTGTCCTAGAAAAACTGGAGAGCGCCAAAAAGAGCTGGAGCTGCCTTATCAGCAAAGATTTAAAGAAATACTTAGGTATAGGTTGGCCAGATGGCTATTCCATGGGGATGCATAGGTTTAATTGTTTGAAGAATGTGAACAGTAAAGAGAGAGTAGAATTATTCTTTTTAGGGGAGCCATTGTACTAGGCTTTGTACAAACCAATAACACAAAGACTCCAGAGAGCTCACAGTCCAGGATTCAGTCTATATGCAGCTGGTGACTGAACTAACAAATGAGGGGGTGACAAGGTAACAGTACAATTATTTAGGATGCTCAAGGGGTTGAGTATATCATAATGAAATTAAGAAAAATTAAATGGACTTTACAGGATTAGAGCGTCTCAGTGTTGTCATTTAACTTCCTTCAGCAATAGAGTAATTTTATTTATTTTTGTGCTGGAGGCAGAACTTGCTCTGAATACAATGTTTATTGTATTTATCTTAACTGTATTAAGGAATCAGGGAAAGAATTAAGAAAGAAAAGTAACTTTTTTTTCTTTATTGTGTGTGGATGAGTGTGGGTGGATGGGTGATGTGTTGTTGCTTTATAAGCATAAGGCAAAACAACATTTGATTTAAACAGAAATATCTTGAGAAAAAATGGTAAACATTCCATTAATGCTGGTGAGGTTGCTATGGATTAGTAGTTTAGAGGTTAATTGTAAGAGCAATTGTGATAAGTGGATAAATAGTTAAGTAATATTTTTGCTCTTTCCTTGAATTGTTGTTGGAGGTTTAACTGCATTTTACAGTACAGTGTTTCCCTTTGGGGAGACATTCTAGTGTAGGTAAACAATTTTAAAATAAATCAGTTGAAGTGCTCATGCAATAAGTGGCTGATCACCTTTGTTAGCCTTCTTAAAACAATCATTTATTTTTTAACAATTTCCAGCTGATGTTAATTTTTTGTTTGTGTTTTTGCAGCAGTCAGATTTCCCATTGCAGAAAAAGGTTTACTTGGTGTTTTTAAATTATGATTTAATGTGGCTTTGCAGTTTGTCACTGATAAATAATGATGTTTCAGGTTCATTTGATATTGTTATTGATATGTGTATTAGAGAAATTATTCATTTGATAAGGCCTGGTCTACATAGTTTTTGTTTCTGTAAAACTGTTTTGGTTAAGGTGTGATTTTTTAATTTTTTTTTAAATTTTAATTGTTTGAACCAAAATAGTTATGCTATTACAACCCCGAGTGTGGATGCAGTTACACTGGCTGTAAAGGTGCTCTATACTGGTATAAGACTTATCCATGTGTGAGTAAGCTATAGCAGTCCACGTGTTTCTAAACCAGTATAACTGCATCCACACTAGTGTTGCCGGCACAGGGGCCCGAGGATAGCAACAGTGAGGTTCGGTGCCCGGAGTGCTTCACGCCAATAAACA